GGGCTTCGCCCAACTGCACGTCCTGCCGTCGTGGGTGGGCGGGTGAGGACAGATACCGGATCAGCTAGACACGGGGATCCACATTATTGGAGAATGAGGTCTCTGAATGTTACTTAATGTGAAGTGAGTGCGATCTCCCCCTTCGTAGTTTTTTCTGCCCCCCCCCGTCTGCACTAATGATTTCGTCCAGTGGTAGGATAGTGGAGTGTCCGTTTCGTGCATTCTTCCCTGCCCTGGGTGATGATAAGCCACTCGGGGATCTCTGCAGGGACCAGAGTACAATACGCGTTGCATACTTTTCAGTTCTGTGTGCGGTGGCGGCCTCTCGCTCGCAGGCCAGTTACTGCAATCAAGATTGGATTCGTGTGGTCACGCATCCTGCTGCTGGAAAGATGTTTTCTCTCGTTTGTTGCCATGTTCACCCTCTGTCCGACGGCGACGTTATTCTGAGGGCTTCGCCCAACTGCACGTCCTGCCGTCGTGGGTGGGCGGGTGAGGACAGATACCGGATCAGCTAAACACGGGGATCCACATTATGATGATGATGATGATGATGATGATGATGATGATGATGATGATGATGATGATGATGATGCTGATGATGATGATGATGCTGATGATGCTGCTGCTGATGATGATGATGAGGATGATGATGCTGATGCTGATGATGCTGATGCTGCTGCTGCTGATGATGATGATGAGGAGGAGGAGGAGGAGGAGGAGAGGGGGGAGAGAAGGAGGAGGAGGCGGAGGCGGAGGCGGAGGCGGAGGCGGAGGAGGAGGAGGAAGGGGGAGGGAGAAGGAGGAGGAGGAGGAGGAGGAGGAGGAGGAGGAGGAGGAGGAGGAGGAGAGGCGGAGGCGGAGGCGGAGGCGGAGGCGGAGGCGGAGGAGGAGGAAGAGGGGGAGGAGAAGGAGGAGGAGGAGGAGGAGGAGGAGGAGGAGGAGGAGGAGGAGGAAGAGGGGGAGGAGGATGTGGAGGCGGAGGCTGAGTCGGAGGCGGAGGCGGAGGCGGAGGCGGAGGAGGATGATGAGGAGGAAGTTCAGGAGGAGCAGGAGGAGGAGGAGGAGGAGGACCAGGACGAGGAGGAGGCGAAGAGGAGGAGGATGATGATGATGAGGAGGAGGAGGGAGAGGAAACAGACTAATACAAGTAAGCGTACTACGATTCATGCTGTTATTAATGTGATTAATATCACGAAGCATGCGGATCATCTTAATACTTTTAGCACTCATAATGCTACGAACATCAAGGCGAATAAAACAACTTAGAAATCGAATTCTATTATTCATAATAGTAGTGCACCACATACTATGAACACTAACGCACATACTAATACTACTACCAAGGAGCATACTACTGATACGGACACTAGTACGGACAATACTAATATCACTGAGACAGGTGTGACTATTAAGAATAATAAGACGGCAACTTAGCACTACGGGTACGACTACTATGCATACCACTACGAAGGCGAATGCTAACCTTACTATGATTCAAAATATACATACGAAGAGGACGATAATGATGCTGAGGAGGAGGATGGATGGGGAATAGGGGGAAGGGGGAGGAGGGATGGGGGGATGGCAGACGGGCGGAGGCAGGAGGGAGGAGGCGGGAGGAGGGAGGATAGAGGAGGGAGGAGGGCGACGGGAGGAGGGAGGAGGGAGAGGGAGGGGTGAGGAGGGAGGAGGGAGGAGGGATGAGGGCGACGGGAGGAGGGGGGAGGGGAGAGGGAGGAGGGATGATGAGGGAGGAGTGAGGATGGAGGAGGGAGAGGAAGGAGGGGAGGGGGAGGGAGGATGGAGGAGGGAGGGCGCGGAGGGAGGAGGGAGGGAGGGAGGGAGGGAGGGAGGGAGGGAGGAGGGAGGGAGGGAGGGAGGGAGGGAGGGAGGGAGGGAGGAGGAGGGAGGAGGAGGAGGAGGAGGAGGAGAGGAGGGAGGAGGAGGAGGAGGAGAAGCTGGAGGAGGGAGGAGGAGGATGAGGAGGAACCATAACCCAAATCGAGTCGCCAACGAAATACCGCAGACGGGCGAAACAATTGAACAGCGCTGTGCCATGCACCGAAACTGAATCGGGGCGGCCGAGCGAGAAAGCCAGTAGGCATGGCCCCAATGGGCTGCCTGTGTGGCGCTACGTTGCGCAGAGCGCACGGCTTCCCAGGCACCGCTCGCGGGGTGGAGGGGGGAGACGAGCGACACGCCCGTTTTGGGGTGACCCCCCGAAAGGGCCTTGGCCAGATCAGCCAGTTGCTTCCTCCTGCGGCGCTCCTCCCTCGAGAAACCCTGTCATCCCTGCCGAAGCTTGCGCTTGGGGCCCACGCGCAATCGGGACGATACGGGAATGCCGCATCGACAGACGAGCGCATGCCCGATCTGCACGACTTGGTTGCCTCGCTCGGAGAAACAACTCATGTCGATGGGGGGGATCGGCACGACCACGCGCACAGGCGGTTCCCTGGACTCAGCAGCCTCCTCCCCGTCGACGTGAAGGGCGGACGCGGCCACGAGCGCAAGCCCTACCGTGGCGTCCGCTCCCTCGTGAAAGAAGCGCCCCCTCCTTTTGGCATCCTCCAGGTTGGCTCACACCGTCCCTGCGAACGATTCCGAAGAGAGCGAAGCGTGAGCTCAGTGCACGCCGAACGATTGCACTCCTTGCAGCGCACCTCGCCCGTGTCCTGAAAGCGTGCGAACTGGTGCTGCGACGAACTTGGGAGTGCCGCGCGCGGGCCGTTGGTGGGCCGTTCGCCCCGCTCCTGGCTCCAGGGCCCAAGCTCCGCAGTTCTGGCCACAGCCCGTCCCAGGCAACGAGCATGCGACTGCGCGGCCCCGACTTCTCTGGCAGCGCGTGGGGGAGGGCTCCGAGGCGGGCGAAATAATCTGCCCACGCATTCCCTTGCACGTCTAACACCGGCGCTCCTTTTTCCAGTGCGCCGTCGGTCGTGAGGTGCGACGGGACCCAAGCAAAGTCGGGCCGACCTTTCCATTCCGCAGCACGAAATGGCGAGCGCCACACGCCTGGGTGGGTGCCTCTGGAGGAGGCGAGGCCAGGGTTCCACCCTCGACCTTCCTGCACAAAGCTGTACACATCACTGACAATCAGCCGCGTGCCTGGACAGAGTTGCACAGCTCGGAGGCCCGCCACTCTCTCAGCTCTGCCGACGGACTTCAAGACTGCGGGAAGGCCGCCATATACTCTGAGTGGCGCGCCGTGGATATCCACCTGCACGCAGCTCCAGCCGCAGCGAGTGCACTTGGGAGTTCGGTTCCCGAACCCCGAGCCGTCCGTGTAGACTATGCCACCCCATCCCGCCCGATCCGACGACCAATCACCCCCGAACGCAATTGGCATGGCAGATCATAATATCAAACCTGTCCCAGCACGCACCGAACCCCGCAAAACCCGTCTCTCTCCAGAACTCGCGCACGATGGTGATGATGATGATGAGGAGGAGGAGGAGGAGGAGGGGGAGGAGGAGGAGGAGGAGGAGGAGGAGGAGGAGGAGGAGGAGGAGGAGGAGGAGGAGGAGGAGGAGGAGGAGGAGGATCGGGGGTGGACAGAAACCCCACCTTGACACGTCGATTCGTGAATTGTCCGTTGTCGGTTCTCGAGATGGCGCCGCGGCCGTCATTTTCCAGGCTTGCGCCCGCTAGGTTTGGGCCCGAGGTCGTTTTCACTACACCACGTTTTACTAAAGGGGATTCTGTGCATCCCCGAGGAGGAGGAGGGGGAGGAGGAGGAGGAATACTAATAACAATCACAATACTAATGATAATATTAACAAGCCAGGAAAAAACTCATAATGGTAATATCATTCATATTATTAGTACTAAGAATGAGACGTATTAATCATCTTAGTAATACGGAGAAGAAGAGTAAAACGACCTACTAGTGATCAGAACAACAACACACACCATAATAACAATTAATGCGACTCATATCAACAATGCAAGATAACTAATATTACGAATAAGAAGAAGACACATAATAACACTAATACTAGTCATGGTAAAAATACGAGGATGAGGAAGAGGGAAGAACGAGGAAGAACGAGGATGATGATGATGATGAGGAGGAGGAGGAGGAGAAAGAGGAGGAGGAGGAGGAGGAGGAGGAGGAGGAGGGGGAGGAGGAGGAGGAGGAGGACGACGAGGACGAGGACGACGACGACGACGAGGACGAGGACGACGACGACGATGACGACGACGACGACCACCACGGTTCACCGATCCTGCCTTCGTCCGGCCCTCGTCTCGGCTCGAGGGAGCGCCCTGGCCGCCGTCAGCAGGTCGGACTCAGAGATGCTTATTTTCCTGTGTGCGTCGCTTCCGCAGGGGCGCGGGGCGACGCGCACACGGAAACATCTCTTGTAGGGTAACCGCACCAAGCAATTCAGACCCCCCCCCGTCTCCGGCGAAGGTATGACGCACCCGGCAGCCCAGAAGCGTTACCCCGGGGGGGGGGGTTCTTTAATGGCTTGATGAGGTTACGGTCAGGAACTTTGGCTTAGCGTGTCGCTCCGCTGGTTCTGGCCCACCACGTGCCGGCGCGACACTCTATCCGCTTCCCGACCCCCGGGCGTCCACGTCCCGAGCCTTCCCCAGCCTCCCGCCCCGCGGAGCGGAGCGGCACGCTGTCCGCTCGCAAGGGGAAGCGTGTCGCCAGGGCCACGACACGCTAACCGAGAGTTCCTGACCGCAGAGACCGTGGCCGGCGTTTTCTGGGACAACCGCTCGTGTAACGACATGCTACACGATGTTGGTGCTGTATGTTCGGGTCGAACGGGCGCCTCCAACAGACACACAGGCACAGTACGAGTATGTCCTTCCCGGCCACGGGGTAGGGGGGAATGCTTCTTGGAGGTACCCCTGCTTCTTGGAAGGCGCGGGCCTTGTCTGTAGATGCAAGGCCCACGCCTTCTAAGAAGCAGCCTCCTTCTAAGAGGCCTTCCCCCCTTCCCCTACCCCCCTCGGCGCGCCCCCAACCTTCTGCGCCCAAGGCGAGACGCGTACATCGGCGGCGAGCTGACCCTCTTCTTCTATCCCTGGGGGGCTTGCGTCGTTCTCCGTCTTTTCCCCCCTGGGCGGGGGCGCGCTGGTCAGATCCTGGCCTCAGGGCCGCCAGCAGGTGCCGCCTCACATGCCTGACGATTTTTTGTTGTTGTTCTTTTTTTTCAGTCCGAGCGTTTCTCTTCGATCTGGGCCTCCAGGCCCTCTTAGTGGGCCCCGGGACCATCAAACATGGATCCAGGGCGAAAGACTGGCCCCAGGGAAGCCCTCGGGACATTTGGGGCGCGCCTTGAAAAAATCAGATGGGCGGATGTCTAGGGCTCGAGGTTCGAGTTTCTCAGGCTGTTCTTGCAGATTCCTGGAGGGTTTCCAGTTTCCAGCCTCGTGATGGTTTCCAGCAGCTCCGCCTCGCCGCCGGCGTTCCTGGGGTGCCCTTGTGTGGTGCTTCATGGGAGCCTCAGAAGGTTCCAGAATTCCTTGCGGTTTTGGGGATTTCGTCTGGATCTCGCTTGGATTTGGTCGACATCTGGACGAAATCTGGAGGAGGAGGAGGAGGAGGAGGAGGAGGAGGAGGAGGGGGGCGGAGGAGGGAGGAGCGACCCGCATAAGGTCGTCCGTATGCGCACTCGTTGCCAATGTAGTGTGCCGCGCCAGCGAACGAGGGGGGGGGGAGTGAGAAGGGGAAGGCCTTCTCAGGTGGCGGCGGGATTTCTCAGAAGACCTCGCGCCTTGTGATAAGATAATCCGTAAGGGCTTCGCCCCATGCCGCTGGCCCCCTGTCTCGGATAAAATGGGAGATGCAAAAGCTAAATCATGACGTCTGGGCGCCGCTGTGAAGCAGTGTCGGAACCTGTTTGTTTTTCGACCCTGACCCTACGGATCTGCATGAGGGGTGCCACCGAATTTCAGAAATGTGGCAAATCCAGTGTGTTTTTGGACCCTGACCCTACGGATCTGCGTGAGGGTTGCTGCCGAATTGCAGAAATGTTGAGAATCCCCTGTGTTTTTGGACCCTGACTCTGTCGATCCGCCTGAGGGGTGCCATCGAATTTCAGAAATGTTGAGAATCCCCTTGGTTTTTGGACCCTGACTCCGCCGATCTGCGTGAGGGGTGCCATCGAATTTCAGAAATGTGGCAACTCTCACATGTTTTTGCACCCTGACCCCGCCGATCTGCATGAGGGGTGCCAGCATATTTCAGAAACGTGGCAAATCCCATGTGTTTTTGGACCCTGACCCCGCCGATCTGCGTGAGGGGTGCCAGCAAATTTCAGAAATGTGGCAAATCCCATATGTTTTTGGACCCTGACCCCGCCGATCTGCGTGAGGGGTGCCAGCACATTTTTAGAAATGTGGCAAATCCCATGTGTTTTTGGACCCTGACCCCGTCGATCTGTGTGAGCGGTGCTAGCAAATTTTAGAAATGTGGCGACTCCCATGTGTTTTTGCACCCTGACCCCGCCGATCTGCGTGAGGGGTGCAAATTTTTACCCACCCCAGCATTTCAGAGCACACGCTCAGGGCGTGCTAAACCTGCCCGTTTGGGCCTCCCCCCCTCGCGCGGTCCATCAACAAAGGAACAGTAAGCAGCAAGAAGCAGAACTGTAACAGTGGAAACTAGAAGCTGCAACTGGTACAGAAAACTGCGAACCTTCGCCCTACAGCCTGGTGGCCCCACAGGGGGGCCGGCGGATTTCCGTGTCTTCGGGGAAGGCTTAGAACATTTCTCAGAAGGCCAGGGGGTTTCTGAGCCTTCTGAGAAGAACCGCTCTTCTCTCTTCCCCTCTGGGCTCGTCGCCGAATGTAGCGTGCCGCGCCGGCGGCCCGCGTAAGCCATCGCGTGAGTTCGTCATGCCATCTCGCGTGAGACCCCTTTCTTTTCGTCTCTCACCCTGGCTTTTTCCACACGCTGGACGTCTGGGCGACGAGCGAGAGCGCCTCGAGCGACGACGGCCACGACCGCGCGAGGCCGAGGCCACGACCACGAGCCCCGCCGCCGCGGGCGGGGCCCGGCGGGCTTCCCGGGCGTGCTCGGCGCTCTCCTGGCAGGCCGGCCCCCCCTCCTCCCTCCCTCGGCAGCGTCTCACCGGTCCTCCCCCCCACTGGGCCATGGCATTTCAGTCCCACCTGCCCAATCCTCCCAGGTGGGGGCAGGTCCCGCGAAACGCGACAGAAGGGGCATATTATCATATATGATCCATTGCTCTGGGCCCCCCCCATCATGCTGATGCGTTCGGGCCCGCCGCCCCTCCCCCCCGCGCGATGAGTCTCCCACCCCATGGGCGTGGAGTGGTGGGGGGTGCCTCCTCCCCCCACTGCCCCTGGGTGTGGGGTGGTGCTGCGGCGTCGTCGTCGTCGTCGTCGTCGTCGTCGTCGTCGTCGTCGTCGTCGTCGTCGTCGTCGTCGTCGTCCCCCCCGTCCCCCCAGGGTGGGGGGGCCCGTGAATCCTCGAAACGGGACCACATAATTATCCCCTCCTCGCGGCCTCACTCGGTCAGTGGGGCCAGCACCCTGCCAGTGGGGGTAGGGATCGCTTACCCCCCACCTCCGCCGCCCCGCCCTCTGCCGGCGGTCGCCGTCGCTCGTGCGGTGCCAAGTCGGCATCACCCCAACATGCTCACACTATGTATGCGTCGGCGCCCCACGGGCGCCGCGCGCGGCCAGAGATCTTTCAGGACATCCTCGTCGGCGGGCGCTTCCTGGCCACACCGCCCAGGCGACTACTATCGTATGTTTGTGCTATTTGTTCGGTTCGGACGTGCGCCAGGAGGCGCGTAGTACTACTATGTCCTTCTGCGTCCCACCAAAGGGGTCAACACTTGAGGGGGTCACCACCTCGAGATCCTCCTGGAGGATCGGCGACTGGCGAGGCTTTTGGGTTCTTTTTGGCATCTCGGGGGGTTCCTGCGGGAGTTCAGGGGGGGGCCCGTTTCCACGAGGAGGTGGCGACACGCGCGCGCGGCCGACGGGCGCGAGTAGCCCGCTTGGTCGCACTTGATGATTTTCGTGGGAAAACTTATGATTGTTTGGAGGATTCGCAGGGGCGAGCATTTTTTGTTTAATCTGAAAACCATGTTGCAACACCGTTTATATCATATAACGGGAAGCCTGGCCCCTGGCCCCGGGGGCGGCACCCTTTTTCAAAATTCCCCACCCCCAGTCTCCTTTTTAGTCCCGGGGGACCGATCCTTTCGGGGCGCTTCGGTGCCAGGCCCACTGGTTGGGTGCTGCAAATCGGCCCCCAGAGCGATCAGACAGCCCTCCCGGCGGTCCAAGACGGCCCCGAGCCACCCCGAAGACGGTCTCCAGGGGTCTCAGACGGCCCAGGAAGCTGTCCAAACGGACCAAGAGGCCCCGCCCCCAAGGCGGCCTCAGAATACTCCAAGAGGACCCCGACAAGTGCCCCAAGGGACCGAACTTTCTAGATTTTCCGTAGGTTTTGGAAGGATTTTGGCGTTCTTACCGCTTCGGGCTTCCTATGCTCCTAGACGCCTCAAGAGGTGCCCAAGGTCGCCCCGAAACGGCCCAAGAGGGGACCAAGAAAGCCCCAAGCCGGCGTCAGAGACCTCTCTGGAGCCCCAAGATGACTCGAGAGGGCCCCAGGACGGCCCAAGAAGCCCTTCAAGACGGCCCAAGAAGGGCCCCAGAGCGGCCCAAGAGGGCCCCAAGAGGGGGAACACGAACCCACAATTCCAGCCTTCGGCTCCCCCAGGCCTCCAGGAGGCCCAAGGAGGCCCTGACAAGGCGCCTCGAGGTTCCCAAGAGGCCCTCAAGAGGCTCCCAGGAGGCCCGAAAGAGGCCCCAAGATGCCCCAAACGGCCCCCAAGAGGCTCCACAGTCTCCCTCGACGAGGTTGCCGAGAGGCTGCCCACGAGGTACCAACGAACACCCAAGAGGCCTCTGACACGCAGCCCAGGCACCGTGGCGGGATGGTCCGAAGGCCAACATATGTATGTATGCATATACGTATGTATGCATGCATGCATGCATGTATGTATGTGTGTGTGCATGTACGTATGTTTGTTTGTTGCATGCATGCATGTATGTATGCATGTATGTCTGTCTGTCTGTCTGTCTGTCTGTCTGTCTGTCTGTCTGTCTGTATGCATGCATGTCTTCATGCATGCATTCATGTATGCATGTGTGTATGCCCATAGGTATTTGTCTACACGCATGTATGTCTGTATGCATGTATGCATGTATACATGTATTTGTGCATGCATGTCTATGTGTAGGTAACACGGCTTCTATGTTTCTGTGTAAATTTATACATATATGTAGGTAAGCGTTGGTATCTAGATATGTATGCATGCATGTATGGATGCATGCATGCATGTATGCGTGTATGAATACATGCATGCATGTGCGAGTGTATGCATGTTGCAGGTATGCATCTATGCACATTACTTGTAGTTATATGTATGTGTGTATGCATACATGCATGCACGTATGCTTGTATATATGTGTGTATGTAGGTATGCATGCATGTATGTATGTGTATGTGTATGTGTATGTGTAGGTGTATGTGTATGTGTTTGTGTTTGTGTATGTGTATGTGTATGTGTATGTGTATGTGTGTATGTGGGTATATGTGTATGTATGTACGCATGTATGTGTGTGCATGCATGCATGTATGTATGCATGTATGTATTTATGTACGTATGTACGTATGAATGTATGCATGTATGTATGTCCACGTATATGTATACATAGACACTTGCCTACAATGATACACATCCAGATCACCATGCATACGTCATACTATACATGTTCACTTTACACATGTGTATGATACCAGAGAAAAAAGCCCAATCAGAGCTATAGGGCTAGGGGGCTATATGGCTATAGGGCTATTGAGCTATAGGGCTACAGAGCTATAGGGCTATAGAGTTGTAGGGCTATAGGGCTATTGGGCTATAGGGCTATAGGGCTATAGGGCTATAGGGCTTAGGGCTATAGGGCTATAGGGCACCCCTGGGCACCCCTCGGCACGCCCGGGCACCAGGGCACCCGGACCCCTCGGGCACCCGGGCCCCAGGCACCCCCGGGCACCCGGGCACCCGGGCGTGCAGCGAAAATCGGCGACAAACCTAAGCTAACCATGTGAATCCGCTAGGACCCCTAGAGAGGCAAGCTCTGATTCGGGAAAATATAGTCGTACACGGAAGATCCTGGCCCTGGGGCACCAGGCATTGTGGAGCCAGATTCGGGCACCCCAGTTCTCCTTTGATGTCTTTCAGCCCCAGACGACGCGTCGTAGAAGCCGCCACAGACCCCATCACACGACCTTTGGGTTACCATATCAAATCGTGGCAGGTCTCACGACCAACCTTAAGGGAACTCCCGAGTGAACCTGGCAGTGCCCAACGGCACTTTGCGATGATAGATCTTCGAGCGCGACTAGAACTTACGCGCGAGCGAAGCGCGCGCGTGGTTCTAGTTTACATCTGTTCCCGGGGAACTCAATCTTGCAGCCAATCTTGAATGCACGAAGCGTAAGGTTTTGAAAGATTTCGGCATGCGCCGCGACGACACGCGCGTGTGTGCACTTTGTATATTTCTGTTGCCAGGTTTTTTTGACAACTGATGGTTCTTGATGGCGAGGAGGAGGGGGGGAGGTCAAACCTGGCCTGGCTGGGAGGGTATGACCTCATGTGTAAAATGAGCGATGGGGCAGGTTCACAATTACATCGCATATCCCAGGGGGTCTCGATAAGTCCGGGGGGGGGGACGGTGGTAGATCCTAATTTGTTCCTGGTACGGAGAATACATATGCAGTGCAATCTACGTGGTGCAGTCTATGTGGTTCGACAGGTCCTCCTCGCGCCGCGGGCCGAGAGGCGTTCTCTCCGGCGTTCTCGACCGGCGCCTCCTCTTCGCCGCCCTGGCGCTGCTGACGAGCATGACGTGCCTGATCACGACGCAGGTGGCGGGGGGAACGAAGTGTAAGTGCGGGAGTAGGAGCGGAGGCGGCGAACGATTCCCTGACTCTCCACCTTCACACTTTCCGACCAGCAGGTGGCCGATTTAGTGATCTTCTCAGGGGCAACACATGACATAGACATAACCTTCCACAGCTCCGCGCGGATTTCTCGGATCTGTGCTGGGCCCCCTTCCCTGGCGACTCTAGCGCCGCCCCTGGCGCGCTCTGCCCGCCCTGAGCTCAAAAGTTTGATCCTCGAGAAGATCATTAAATCAGCCACCTGCTGGTCGGAAGGAGTGGAAGGTACACAGTCAGGGCTGGCTCGGGGGAACATGCCCAGGCCTCCAACCCTGACAGCTTCGCGTCGCGGAAAAGTCAGGACGGATTTCTTTGTCTCCTCAAGACACAGTTCAGGATGACAAGCTGGTCCCAGGGAAGGTGTCCAGACCTCTGGGGAGCAATGTCGGGACAAATCACCACGTCGGATGTTTAGGAACGTCTTGAATAATCAAAACGATGTTACTCCTCAGTCTTCGGGCGCCAGGGGCCTTCGCCGGGCCCCAGGCCGTCAAAAACCGCTCGGGATGATAAGCCGGCCTCCCGGGACCCTGCAGTGAAACAATCTGCCCTCTGGGTCGTTCCATAGATCCTTTTGTTTGTTTGTTGCTGCTGTTTGTCCCCCCTCCTCCCGACTGGTGCCTGGACGCCCCACGTGGTCAGCGAGCGTGCGGCTTCGCCACCGGGAACCCGATCGCTGATCCGTTGGCGTGCTGCATCGTCGATCCTGGGCCGAGGGTTCCCTCCCCAGGGTCAGTTCCCCCCTTCGCCTCAGTTTTTTGGTTGTGCTTGTCTGTTATGGTCTTTGTCGTTGGTTGCGCCGTTTGGTGGGAGTCCAGTCCCCGTGGGCGCTCGTTCGTTTATCAGTTGGGGTCCAGGGTGCCCAGGGTGTGCTGCAGTCAAGACAGGTTGAGGCTGGATTTTGGCACGGCGACCGTCGGCAACGCCGGGATGCCATGGGCACCCCAGAAAAGTCTAGTCCAGAGGGGGTCCGTCAGGTGGAGGGTGGCCTGCCTTCCGCCCCTCCTGGGAGCCCAGGGAAGCCACGGAGTCTGGGAAGTCGTGGGAGTCCAGGGAACATGGGGTTCAGGGAGTCTCGATGGTTTTGATTTTCACCAGCCCTCGCACCTGACGGTGTTGGGTTTCGGGTGGGTGCAGGGAGTCTGGGGAGTCGGGGGGGTCTGGGTGTCCAGGGAATCCAGGGGGTCCAGGGAGCCTAGGTGGTCTAGGAGTTTTTGATTCTATAGGCTTACGCCACATCCGCCGACCCCTCATCTTGGCGGTCTTGCCGGCTCGCTTGAATCGGGCTGGGGAGTCGTGTAGGGGTCCATAATGACCTCTCTTGGGGCCATGTGGAATCCGCTTGGGGTCATCTCGAGGCCCAGGGGGGCCCATCGGAAAAGAAAGGACGCTAATGCAATCTTGGCATCGTTCTGGAGATGCCCAAAGGGTGGAAGCGTTGGAGTGGGGCCCGTACATTTTTTCCTGGGTTTGACTTCTTTGGTGAGGCGGGGTTGTTTTTTGGGGCATCCCTGAGCCCGCACGGGGAACCTCGGGGCTGTGGAAGGGACGAGTCTCACACGCTTGGGGACCGAGAAGGTGTTCGCGGTTTGTTTCGCATTGCTAGGTCCAGGCACCTTACGAGCCCGAGGCCATCGCCACCATTATCATCAGTACCGTCACCATCATCATCATCATCATCATCATCATCATCCTCATCATTATCATCACCACCATCATCATCATGCTAAGCATCATCATCATCATCATCATCATCATCATCATCATCATCATCGGTATCATCCTCGTCATAATCATTGTCGTCGTTGTCGCCATCACTGTCTCAAGGGATTCTATTTTTTACCTGACTGCGGGCCTCCGCGGTGGCATGTACATGCCACCATGGCAGCGCCATGGTGGCATGTACTGCGCGAAGTGCAGCGTTATCAAAGCCAAACAGAACTCGCGGAAAGACAGCGCGAAGTGGAACCAGAGCGTCGGAGCAGTGCGATGTACGAACGGTAAGTGCCTGTCGCTATATGACGAAAAAGCGGATATGTCGGAAGCTCGGAAGAAGCGCAATGCTGCGGGGGAAAGGCTCTGTCGGAAATGCGCGGAAGAACGAGAGAAAGAGGTGCGACCGGGGAATGCGGAGGCAGCGAATCGCAAGCGGAAGGCCGAGGCAGACGCGAAGCCACTGACGTGTGCGGCGTGCGGAGAAGCGTTCTCGGACACGAAACATTTGAAGCGTAAGCAAGTGGAAGATCATCGAGCGGCGAAAGGAGCGAAAGTGGTGTGCGGAGGCTGCAAGAACCTCGGGTTCACAGCCCGCAGTTGCCAGGCGTATCAGTGCGGCGGCGCGTGCAAGAGAAGACTACCGAAGTCGGCGTTCTCCGGGGGCCCCCCCAACGTCGCACGCGATGCAAAAAAGGGCACCCTGATATGCAAGACTGCACATGATGCCCAATCGGGGGCGCGCGTGCGGGGGAGGACAGGGGGGAGGGGGAGAGAGGGATGGGGGGTGAGGCGGAGGATGAGGGGAGAAGAATCGGGGAGGAAGAGGATGAGGCGGGGGAGGAAGAGGAGGAGTGGGCGAGGAGGAGGTGGAAGAGGAGGAGGAGAGGGGGAGGAGGACGGGGACACAGAGACGAAACTCTAGGATATGTGCTATGTGTTAGAGGCCTTTTGTATGTGTATAGGGATCTCGCGGCACGCTTCTCGGGGACTTCCGGAAAGCAGTTTTGAACCCACCTGGCGGCCGAGGTGGAGGAGGAGGAGGAGGAGGAGGAGGAAAAGGAGGAAGGGGACACAGAAACAAGGCTCAGGGTTATGGGTTTTGGGTCAGAGGCGTCTTGCACCAGCTTGGGACCAATTTGGAGGCAGGTTTTGCCGTCTTGGGATCGTCTTAGGCCGAATTGGGAGGCGTCCAGGGCCGTGTTAGGATTCTCTGGGGCTGTCTTGAGGCCCTCTTGGGGCGCCGTGGGGTGATCTTGGAGGCTCTTGGGGCTACGTGAGCCGACGGAAGCCGGGAAAGGCAACAAGTGCAAACATGTTCAACGACGCAATGGAGATGTAATGAAATGCGTAGTGTGCGCCTCTTTCAGATGTCTTGGGGGTCTTCTTGGAGACTTCGTGGGCGGTAGTGAAAGCCTTTTAGGCCATCTTGAGGCCATCTTGGGCCGTCTTCGAACTGTCTTGGGCCGTCTTGGAGCCATCTTGGGCCGTTTTGGAGCCATCCTGGGCCGTTTGGGAGCAATTTTGGCCTCGAGAGCGCGAGTCCTTTTGTGTGCGCAAACGCAACCCCGCCACCGTGCCTGGGTTGTTGATATGAGGCGGTGATCGTTGGGATCTCTTGGGGAGCTTCTCGCGGGACTCTTGGAGGCAGTTTCGAAGCCTCTTGGGGGCCGTTGTGAGGCCGTTTTGGAGCCTCTTGGGGGCCTCTTGGGGCCTCTTGTGGGCGTCTTGGGGGCCTCTTGGGGCCTCTTGGGGCCTTCTGGGGCCGTCTTGGGGCGGAAGGCTCGGATTGTCGGTTCGGGCTCCCCCTCTTGGGCACCTCTTGGGGCCGTCTTGGGGCCCTCTTGGGCTGTCTTGGGGGCCTCTTGGGCCGTCTTGGCGCCCTCTTGGGCCGACTTGGGCGCCTCTTGGGGGCCTCTCGGGGCGGTCTTGGGGTGCTCTGGGACCGTCGTCAACGCCGTGAAGGCCGACAAGTAGTATGATCAAAATGTACGTTTTCCCATAGGAATTTGACGATTTTCGGCGCTTCGGCCCTTCTGAGGACTGCTCTTGGAGGCCTCTTGGGCCGTCTTGGAGGCCTCTAGGCTCGTCTTGGGGGAATCTTGGGCGTCTGGGAACGCTCGTTTGGCGCCTCGGAGCCCTCGTGAGCCGTCTTGGACGAGTCTTGGGGCCTTCTTGGCCCGTCTTGATTCCCTTTTGGGCCCAAAAGAGCCCCGTGACGCGCTCGTCGTGGGCCCGGGGGGGGGGGTCGAATCTCCGGTTTGGGGTCCCAGGGGGGGGGTTAGGGGGGGGGAACTATCTCACACGCCTAGAGACCCACAAGGGGTCGGCGGATTTTCATTGTGCGCTCGCGCCGGACAGGGGTCTGGAGGGACCAACGGGTCCCATGATTCCAGGGAGACCAGGGGGTCCAAGGAGTTTAGGGGGTCAAGAGGGTCCAGGGGACCCAGGGTAGGGAGTCCAGGAAGTCCCGGGAGTCCAGGGGGTGTAGGGACTAGGGCGTCTACGGAGTCCATGGGGGTGCAGGGAGTCTAGGGACTGTAGGCCGGTGGGGAGCTTCAAGGGAGTCTAGAGAGTTTATTGGCTCAGAGAGTCTAGGGGCCTAGGGGGTCCAGGGCTTCTAGGGAGTCTAGGGAGTCTAGGGAGTCTAGGAAGTTCAGGGAGTGTATGGAGGGAGTCTGGGGGTCGTTAATTTTGGGCAGGCCCCCGTATCTGACGGTGTGGGGCCTCTGGGGGGTCCTGGGAAGCCAAGGAGTCCATGCGGCCGAGGGAGTCCATGGCTTCCAGGGGGTCCAGGGAGTCCACTGGGAGGCAGGTCCACCCCCAGGGGCGCGAAGATATTCGAGCTTCGCGCGTCGCGGCCTCGGTCAGGAAGCTGCCTTTTTCCAAAGTGGCCTCGCCAGGGCGCGAAAATAGCCGCGCGTCGCGCATCGCAGGGCGCGATGCGCGAACTTTGGTAACTTAATGGAGAAATCGCGTCCAGAGCCCTAGTCCCCAGCTTCGTGCTGCACGTTTCGATCCAGGTTGGTCTGCGAGCATCGCGAAACTGGGCGCAAAGATCCCAGCGATTTTCGAAACGGGTCTCGATCAGCTTGGTGCGAAGAAACAATTACAACACCCAGATCTCAGGGCCCCCCTCGCCCGCTCCCCGGCCCGCTCAAGGTGTCGACGTTCAATGGCCTCGCGTGGGCGCGGGCGTTCTCAGGCCGCCGCCGGCCCGGCCGCCGCGATTGGCCGCCCGTCCGCCGCCGCGCGCAGGCCTGTGCGTGTGTGCGCTCAGCGTGGCTGGCGGACGATCGGCCTGCATTTGCTTCTCTGCGGTGATTTGGATCGCCCGTGTGGCTCGTCGCCCTGGCCGCGTGCACTCGAACGCGTGTGTGTGTGTGTGTGTGTGTGTGTGTGTGTGTGTGTGTGTGTGTGTCTGTCTGTGTCTTTCCGCTGGGCTTTGGCTTTGCAGCGCCTCATCTTTTCAACACTCTCACCAGTCTGCGTTGTCGTGGCTGGATTCTTTCATCAGGGCGCGTTCGACTAAGTTCGTTCGCAATTGGCACTTCCATCTGCCGACCGCGCCTGAGGTTCTTCTGCGCCGCCGACTTAAGAGTGTGTGCGTGTCCTTGACTTGTCCAGTGCTTGCCCGGTTTGTGCCCACCTTTCTTTTTTGCTCCGAGGCCCTTGCCCAGCCGTCCGCGCATCGGATCTGAGCATCCTTGCGTGTTTGCACTCGCTGGCCCCCCCCGCCCGCCCACTAAATTCCTTGTTTTTTCCTGCGCGCCCCTTCGCCTAGCGCAGCCGACCGCTCGCAACGCCTTTTGGTACTTACCATAGCTTGTGCCCCGTGCTATCACGCCACGTGGCCGGCGGAAGAGAACGTGTGTGTGTGTGTGTGTGCGTGTGCCGTCACCCGCCTATGCCTGTTTGGTTTGTAAGTCGGCGCGCCCTTGCAGTTGAGTTTCGCAATGCCGACCACACCGTGTGCTGGTTCGCGAGTGGTTTCCAGCCGCGCATCTCTACCCTCTAATTCTGTCCACTCGATCTGGAACGTTTGCCTTTTGCAGTGCATGAGGGCTGCGGCCTTTTCCGCGTGCAGCCGCGTCAATGCTTTTCAGCAAGCGGCTGCCGGCATCCGAGCTTTTTTCTGCAGGTTTACCTTCTTTGCCATGTGGCAATTCGCCTAGCTGGGGAAACAAATGTGCGCGCGCGTGCGTGCGTGCGTGCGTGCGTGCGTGCGTGTGTGTGTGTGTGTGTGTGTGTGTTTGTGTGTGTGTGTGCGCGTGTGTGTGTGTGTGTGTGTGTGTCTGTGTGTGTGTGTTTGCCCTCTCCGCCAGCGCAGTCACTCTGCCTAGCCGCCGACGCCGACGTACAAACAAATGTGTTTGCGTGTGTGTGTGTGCGCGCGTGTGTGTGTTGTTTGTGTGTGTGTGTTGTGTGTGTGTGTGTGTGTGTGTGTGTGTGTGTGTGTGTGTGTGTGTGTGCGTGCGTGCGTGCGTGCGTGCGTGCGTGCGTGCGTGCGTGCGTGTGTGTGTGTGTACCATGTCTATGCAAGCGCACCTGCGGGCCCAAGTTGGTACCAAAAGCAGCGGGGGGGAACTTCTGGGCTTGCCGCAGACTGCGAATGTACGAAATGTTGAGAAACATGTTTGTGGGAATGAAACAGCAGAGGTTCGAGCAACGCTGGAGAACAACATTGGATATTACAATAACGATTACTTGTGCCCTTACATAGGTAGGCATTGGTAGGCGAACTCATCGGATTTCTGTTTGGTGTTTGGAGACTTTCCCATACATTGTTGAAGAGCTACACAGGAAACCATTTGACAAACACGGGTTCCTTACACGTGCGCGACATTCTTGAACATTTGACATCTTGAATTTCGATGGTGTTTTTTTCGCTTCTGACGTCGCGTTCGTGATGCTGCGTCCGGCTCACAGAAGAATGAGTACGTCCCGACCGGAATGGCCAGACAAAACGCGGACAGGACATCTCCACCAATAGTCGCCTCTGACCTCCACCTCTTCGGAAATGTGCGTATGATATCCTCATTAGTTTTTTGTTTTTTTTTTGTTTGTTGTTTTCCCTCCCTCACTCTGTCTCGTGTTCTCTCTCTCTCTCGTGCTCTCCCTCTCCTTTTCTTTGTCGCTCTCGCACTCTCGCGCTCTTTCGCTCTTGCGTTCTCGCTCACTACATATCTACGTGTTTGGTCTCTCTCTCTTTCTCTCTTTCTCGTTTTTTTGTGTTTTTTGTTTAATCTCTTTTTTTCCCCCCCTCTCTCTCTCTCTCCCTTTTTGTGTCTCTCTCTCTCTCCCGTTGTCTGTCTCCCTCCCAATCTCTCCCTCCGCCACTCCGGCTTACCTCGGCGGAGCAACTGGTCCGAGGCCGCGGAGCAACTGAAACCAAGCGGCGGAGCAACTGGCACCAAACGGAGGAGCGGCGGAGCAACTGAGCCAGTTGTTGGCCCAGTTGCTCCGCCCGCCCATCTCAGTTGCTCCGCCCGCCCCCCGTCCCCCCTGCGCCTCTGGGGCAGTCTCAGTTGCACCTGGGGTGGTTGCAGTTGCCGCAACAGAACCCAAGCGGCGAAGGGCGTGGAGGAGGGGGAGGAAGCGGAGGAGCGGAACGGGAGAGGAGGAGGATGAGGAGGAGTAGGAGGAGGAGGAGGTGGAGGAGGGCTATCGGAAGCGAGCGGGCGAGAACGCAAATAACATTGATTTTCTATGGGTGTTTGAAAGTTTTTGGCTTCTTGAGCCTCCTTGGGAAGCTTTTTCGACTCCTGGAGCCGTCTCGGGGCGGTCTTGGGCCCTGTTGGAGCGTCTTCGGAGCCATCTTGAGGAATCTTGCGCCATCTTGGGCGAAACAGTACCCTCTGGCACCTCGCGGAGCGCCTCTTGGGCCCGTCTTGGGGTGCCTCTGGGCCCCTCCGAGGGCCCTGGGAAGGGTGCAAGAGGGCCCCTAGAGGGCTCCCAGAGGCCCCCAAGGGGGCTCCAAGAGGCCCCGAAGAGGGCCCAGGAGCACATTATAAAACAAGCTGTTTTTTATAAGCTGGCCTGGTGCCCTCTTGGGCCTGTCTTGGGGCGCCTTTGAGCCCCCCCGAACGCCCTGGGAAGAGTCCAAGAGGGCCCCTACAGGGCTCCCAGAGGCCCCCAAGAGGGCTCCAAGAGGCACCCGAAAGGGTCCAGGAGTACGTTATAAAACAGACTGTTTTTTTTATAAGCTGTCCTGGGGCCCTCTTGGGCCCGTCTTGGGGCGCCTTTGGGCCCCTCCGAACGCCCTGGGAAGGGTCCAAGAGGGCCCCTGCAGGGCTGCAGGAGGCCCCCAAGAAGGCTCCAAGAAGCCCCCAAGAAGGCCCCGGAGTACCTTACAAAACAAACTGTTTGTATAAGCTGTCCTGGGGCCCTCTTAGGCCCGTCTTGGGGCGCCTCAGGGCCTCTCGGAAGGATATGGGAAGGGTCCAAGAGGTCCCCTAACGGGCGGGTCGGGTCGGGCCGGGCGGGACATTAAAGTATGATGCATCATCGAGTTGGCACGCGAGTACCCTAACGGGCGGGTCGGGTCGGGTCGGGCGGGCGGACCCTAACGGGCGGGTCGGGTCGGGTCGGGCGGGACATTAAAGTATGGTGCGTCACCGAGTTGGCACGCGAGTGCCCTAACGGGCGGGTCGGGTCGGGTCGGGCGGGCGGACCCTAACGGGCGGGTCGGGTCGGGCCGGGCGGGACATTAAAGTATGGTGCATCATCGAGTTGGCACGCGAGTACCCTGACGGGCGGGTCGGGTCGGGTCGGGCGGGACATTAAAGTATGGTGCATCACCGAGTTGGCACGCGAGTGCCCTAACGGGCGGGGCGGGTCGGGTCGGGCGGGCGGACCCTAACGGGCGGGGCGGGTCGGGTCGGGCGGGACATTAAATTATGTTGCATCACAGAGTTGGCACGCGAGTACCCTAACGAACGGGACGGGTCGGGTCGGGCGGGCGGACCCTAACGGGCGGGCCGGGTCCGACCCTAACGGGCGGGTCGGGTCGGGTCGGGTCGGGCGGGACATTAAAGTATGATGCATCATCGAGTTGGCACGCGAGTACCCTAACGGGCGGGACGGGTCGGGTCGGGCGGGCGGACCCTAACGGGCGGGTCGGGTCGGGCGGGACATTAAAGTATGGTGCATCATCGAGTTGGCACGCGAGTACCCTAACAGGCGGGACGGATCGGGTCGGGCGGGCAGACCCTAACGGGCGGGACGGGTCGGGCGGGCGGGCGGACCCTAACGGGCGGGACGGGTCGGGTCGGGCGGGCGGTCCCTAACGGGCGGGTCGGGTCGGGTCGGGCAGGACATTAAAGTATGATGCGACATCGAGTTGGCACGCGAGTACCCTAACGGGCGGGACGGGTCGGGTCGGGCGGGCGGACCCTAACGGGCGGGTCGGGTCGGGTCGGGCGGGCGGGACATTAAAGTATGGTGCATCGCCGAGTTGGCACGCGAGTACCCTAACGGGCGGGTCGGGTCGGGTCGGGCGGGCGGACCCTCACGGGCGGGTCGGGTCGGGCGGGACATTAAAGTATGTTGCATCAGAGAGTTGGCACGCGAGTACCCTAACGGGCGGGACGGGTCGGGTCGGGCGGGCGGACCCTAACGGGCGGGTCGGGTCCGACCCTAGCGGGCGGGTCGGGTCGGGTCGGGTCGGGCGGGACATTGAAGTATGATGCATCATCGAGTTGGCCCGCGAGTACCCTAACGGGCGGGACGGGTCGGGTCGGGCGGGCGGACCCTAACGGGCGGGTCGGGTCGGGTCAGGCGGGCGGACCCTAACGGGCGTGTCGGGTCGGGTCGGGCGGGACATTAAAGTATGGTGCATCATCGAATTAGCACGCGAGTACCCTAACAGGCGGGACGGATCGGGTCGGGCGGGCAGACCCTAACGAGCGGGTCGGGTCGGGTCGGGCGGGCGGACCCTAACGGGCGGGTCGGGCCGGGTCGGGCGGGACATTAAAGTATGCCCTGACTCCTGATCCGCCCTACTTTGGGCGATTTCGAAAGTAGGGCGGAAATTTCCGCCCTACTTTTGAGGCCCCTTTGAGCGTCGATTTCCGCCCTTGAGGCTCCTTTGGCGTCGATTTCCGACACAATTTTAGGTCGGACAATCATCCAAAGTACGGCGGATCAGGAGCCAGGGTGATGCATCATCGAGTTGGCACGCGAGTACCCTAACGGGCGGGTCGGGTCTGGTCGGGTGGGGGGCACAGATGGCACAGATGAGCCCATTAGCCAGAGGCACCTATCAAGGGGGTAGAGATATTTTGGGGTATATGCGCTCCTCCTCCTCCTCCTCCTCCTCCCTCTCCTCCACCTTCCTCCCAGTAGTCAGAGGCATCTATGAAGAGGATGTATATATTATGTGAGTTAATGTTCGATTGAGGGGGGGGGGGTCATGAACGTCGAGGCTCGAACCTCGAACCCCGAGGATCGAGGTTCGAGGTTTTCTGGCCTTCATGGGGCCCTCCTCGTCGCCACGGCTGGACGCAGCGCGAAAAACTGGTCAGCTTTGGCCCCGGGGGGGGGGGGGTCCAGGAACCCGGTTTGAGGCGACACGAGGCCTAGAACCCAGAGAAAAAATTGGGCGCTGGCAGAAATGCCGACCCACCCCCCCCTCTCCCCCCACGTCGCAATCGTTCCACGTCGCAATCGTTTCGCGACGTGGGCCCCCAGAGGTCTGGACCCTTTCCTTGTATGGTCCTTCTTCTGTCCTGAGCCGTTTTGTGTGCCAGGCCGGCCTCCAAGCCTCAGAGGTCCGGCCGCAGACAGGGGGGGGCGACGACGACGACGACGACGACGACGACGACGGCGGCGGCGACGACGGCGGCGGCGCCGCCGACGCCGCCGCATGCCGAACGACCGGAAAATGCAGTCGCCGCCGCCGCCGCCGTCGTCGTCGTCGTCGTCGTCGTCGCCGTCGTCGTCGTCGTCGGCGGCGGCGGCGGTGATTGCCTCGACTTCTCCCCGACTTCGTTTTTTTTCCGGGGGGTTCACGACGAGGTTCGAACCCCCAACCTCGAGGATCTAGGTTCGAGGCCCTTTATCCTTCGGAGGCTCTCCTCGTCGCCGCGGCTGGACGCGGCTCGGACAACTGGTGCGTTTGGACCCCGGGAAGGATCTGGGACCCGTCTTTGGGCCCCTCCGAGGTCTCTGGGAAGGGTCCAAGAGGGCCCCTAGAGGGCTCCCAGACGCCCCCAAGGGGGCTCCAAGAGGCCCCCAAGAGGGCCCAGGAGTACGTTATAAAACAAGCTGTTTTTATAAGCTGTCCTGGGGCCCTCTTGGGCCCGTCTTGGGGCGCCTCTGGGCCCCTCCGAGGGCCCTGGGAAGGGTCCAAGGGGGCCCCTAGAGGGCTCTCAGAGGCCCCCAAGGGGGCTCCAAGAGGCCCCGAAGAGGGCCCAGGAGTACGTTATAAAACAAGGTGTTTTTATAAGCTGTCCTGGGGCTCTTTTGGGCCCGTCTTGGGGCGCCTCTGGGCCCGTCCGAGGGTTCTGGGAAGAGTCCAAGAGGGCCCCTAGATGGCTCCCAGAGGCCCCCAATGGGGGCTCCCAGAGGCCCCGAATGGGGGCTCCAAGAGGCCCCCAAGAGGGCTCAGGAGTACGTTATAAAACAAGCTGTTTTTATAAGCTGTCCTGGGGCCCTCTTGGGCCCGTCTTGGGGCGCCTCTGGGCCCCTCCGAGGGCCCTGGGAAAGGGTCCAAGAGGGCCCCTAGAGGGCTCCCAGAGGCCCCCAGAAGGGGGCTCCAAGAGGACCCGAAGAGGGCCCAGGAGTACGTTATAAAACAAACTGTTTTTATAAGCTGTCCTGGGGCTCTTTTGGGCCCGTCTTGGGGCGCTTGTGGGCCCCTCCGAGGGCCCTGGGAAGGGTCCAATAGGGCCCCTAGAAGGCTCCCAGAGGCCCCCAGGGGGGCTCCAAGAGGCCCCGAAGAGGGCCCAGGAGTACGTTATAAAACAAGGTGTTTTTATAAGCTGGCCTGGTGCCCTGTTGGGTCGTGTTGGGGCGCCTTTGAGCCCCCCCCGAACCCTCTGGGAAGGGTCCAAGAGGGCCCCTAGAGGGCTCCCAGAGGCCCCCAAGGAGACTCCGAGAGGCCCCCAAGAGGGCCCAGGAATACGTTATAAAACAATCTGTTTTTATAAGCTGCCCTGGTGCCCTCTTGGGCCTGTCTTGGGGCGCCTTTGGGCCCCTCCGAACGCCCTGGGCAGGCTCCGAACGTCTTGGGCCTGTTTTGGGGCCGCCTTTGGGCCCGTCGGAAGGCTCTGGCCGCCCCCCGCCCTCCGTCGAGGCCCCCCGCGGCACGCGCGGCCCCGGGTGCAGCTGGGACCGGAGCGTTGCTCCCTGCAAGGGTCCAGGAGGGCCTCTCTCGGGCCCTTCGCGGAAGCCCTCTTGGCGCATGGGGCAGCCTGGGGCAGTCTGGGTCAGTCTGGGTCAGTTGGGTCAGTTGGGTCAGTTGCTGGCCCAGTTGCTCCGCCCACCCGTCTCAGTTGCTCCGCCCGCCCCCCGGCCCCCTTGGCAGTCTGGGGCAGTCTGGGGCAGTCTGGGGCAGTCTGGGGCCTGTCTGGGGCAGTCTGGGGCAGTCTGGGGCAGTCTGAGGCAGTCTGGGGCAGTCTGGGGCCTGTCTGGGGCCTGTCTGGGGCAGTCTGGGGCAGCCTGGGGCAGTCTGGGGCAGTGTGGGGCAGTCTGGGGCAGTCTGGGTCAGTTGGGTCAGTTGGGTCAGTTGGGTTGGGTCAGTTGCTGGCCCAGTTGCTCCGCCCACCCGTCTCGGTTGCTCCGCCCGCCCCCCGGCCCCCTTGGCAGTCTGGGGCAGTCTGGGGCAGTCTGGGGCCTGTCTGGGGCCTGTCTGGGGCCTGCCTGGGCCAATCTGGGGCAGTCTGAAGCAGTCTGGGGCAGTCTGGGGCAGTCTGGGCCAGTTGGGGCCCTCTGGGGCAGCCTGGGGCAGTCTGGGGCAGCGTGGGGCAGTCTGAGGCAGTCTGGGGCAGTCTGGGTCAGTTGGGTCAGTTGGGTCAGTTGGGTCAGTTGCTGGCCCGGTTGCTCCGCCCACCCGTCTCCGTTGCTCCGCCCGCCCCCCGGCCCCCTTGGCAGTCTGGGGCAGTCTGGGGCAGTCTGGGGCAGTCTGGAGCCTGTCTGGAGCCTGTCTGGGGCAGTCTGGGGCAGTGTGGGGCAGTCTGAGGCAGTCTGGGGCAGTCTGGTGCAGTCTGGGCTAGTTGGGGCACTCTGGGGCAGCCTGGGGCAGTCTGGGGCAGTCTGGGGCAGTCTGGGGCAGTCTGGGTCAGTTGGGTCAGTTGGGTCAGTTGGGTCAGTTGCTGGCCCAGTTGCTCCGCCCACCCGTCTCAGTTGCTCCGCCCGCCCCCGGCCCCCTTGGCAGTCTGGGGCAGTTTGGGACAGTCTGGGGCAGTCTGGGACAGTCTGGGGCAGTCTGGGGCAGTCTGGGGCAGTCTGGGACAGTCTGGGGCAGTCTGGGACAGTCTGGGGCAGTCTGGGGCAGTCTGGGGCAGTCTGGGGCAGTCTGAGGCAGTCTGGGGCAGTTGGGGCAGTGTGTGGCAGTTGGGGCACTCTGGGGCAGTCTGGGGCAGTCTGGGGCAGTCTGGGGCAGTCTGGAGCAGCCTGGGGCAGTCTGGGGCGGTCTGGGGCAGTGTGGAGCAGTCTGGGTCAGTTGGGTCAGTTGGGTCAGTTGCTGGCCCAGTTGCTTCGCCCACCCGTGTCAGTTGCTCCGCCCGCCCCCGGCCCCCTCGGCAGTCTGGGACAGTCCTGGGGCAGTCTGGGACAGTCTGGCGCACGCTCGGGCAGTCTGGGGCAGTCTGGGGCAGTCTGAGGCAGTCTGGGGCAGTTGGGGCAGTGTGGGGCAGTTGGGGCACTCTGAGGCAGTCTGGGGCAGCCTGGGGCAGTCTGGGGCAGTCTGGGACAGTGGGGCAGTTGGGGCGGTCTGGGGCAGTGTGGGGCAGTCTGGGTCAGTTGGGTCAGTTGGGTCAGTTGCTGGCCCAGTTGCTCCGCCCACCCGTCTCAGTTGCTCCGCCCGCCCCCCGGCCCCCTAGGCGCCGCCGGGGGCGGTCTCAGTTGCAACTGGGGTGGTTTCAGTTGCTCCGCCAATTGCTTCCCCGCCACTCCCTCTCCCTCTCCCTCGCTCTCCCCCCCCTCTCCCTCGCTCTCCCCCCACCTCGCTCTCCCTCTCCCTCTCCCTTTCCCTCTCGCCACGGCGCCGCATGTGGTCTTCTCCCGCGCGTGCCCACTGGCTACAGGGATACAGGACGTTCTCTTCTCGAGCACTCTGCTTTTTGACAAGCTGCGTGGTCGACTCGTCGTGCGGCCTTGTGCTCCACGTGGCGCGCTCCAGTGAGGGCCTCGCTTTCGGCGCACCCTCGCCTTCGGCGGAAGGCGGCGGAAGTAGGCGGAAGAAGCTTCGAACCTCGCCCTACGCCGTCAAAGCTCTGGCATCATCCCCACTGCCCAGGCCGGGAAGCTGCACGCTGGCCCCCGCGCCCTGCGGCCGAACAAGTCCGCGACGGCCAGCGGGCGCTTCGCCGCCGTGCCCTCCTTTGGGCGGGGCGCGCTGGAGCCGTGGCCGCGCCCGCTCAAGTCGGGCTGCTGCCGCCTGAACGGGGGCGGCAGCCCGCGACCCTTGAAGCTGTCCTCGTCCGTCGGCGCGATCTGGTGGAACACCGGCAGCTCCGACTCCACGAGGCGCATCACCTGCAAACGCGAGGCGTCGAGGGCCTCAGGCGAGTCGGCCGACTCGCAAGCCCGCAGCACCTCTGGCGGCGCCTCAACTGGGGCCGGCGACGGCCCGATCGCCCTCTGCGTGGGGAAGGGCCGCGGGGCCTTTAGCCTGCGCTCCAGCGGCGCCGCGCCATGCGCGCGCAGCTGAAGCCGCGCCGCCGAGTGCGGGCGGACGGGTCCAGGGTCCACGCTGCATCCCTGGAGCCTGGGGAGGAGGTCGTTCGATACCACGAAGAAGTCCAATTCCGACTCGACGTCCAAACCCTTCCTCGTCGTCGGCCGCCCGCCGTGGTTGCTGACCACCGCGCCGCCGATGCCCTGCAGCCAGGCCGAGCCCTCCTCGCAGAGCTGCTTGGGCCCAACGTTCCGATCGCCGGCCAAGATGAAAAGGCCTTCCCGCGGCGCGGGTTGCCGACCCTAGCCAGCACGGCCCAAGAGCGCTCCCCCAGGCTGTCGTTGGCCAATTACACGCTGGCCATGAGCACTCCGCCGCGCTGCATGCCGCTGAGGAGGACGGCCGTGCACCGGCCCTCCGCGTCGACGTGCCTGGAGCCTGCGCCGTCGGGCTCCGCCATACCCCTGTTGGAGCGCACCACCACGCCTGTGCCTGACGAGGCGGCTCGGCGCTGCTCCACGTCTTGCGAGGAGGCACGCGCCACTCCCGCCGTCAGCGCGGCTGCCACGCCGTGCTGCCTGCACCACTGCTCCTGGGCTGCCAACCTCTTGGGGAAGAGCTGCGTCTCCTGGACGCACCAGCAGTCCGCCCTGTGGCTGCGCATGGTGCTCTCGTCGCTCCAGAGCGCCGTCAGGGGCCCCCAGCCCGAGCCATTGGCGGAGATCACCACGAATTCGGAGCTGCGCCAGCTTCTCTTCTGCGCTGCCGCGCTGCTACCGCTACGGCTCGCTGTGGGCTGCGCCAGAGGGGGCAGCGCCGTCCGCGACGCCAGCGGCTGTCCGGCGCCGCTTGCACCAGCCCGCCTCGGCAAGCTGGGCCAGCTTCTGTATGCGAGCGGCTCGAAGCTCGGCGGGTTCCTCTCGCGCCCCGGCGTCGAGCCCGAACAAGTCCCAGGAAGCCTCATCACCATCAGGATCCAGATCAAGGTCCACAGCGGGTCCAGCCGGCTCGTGCTCGCCGCCCGTGCCGCCCAGCTTCGCATCTGCGGCGGCCGCGGCGGCCACGGCAGCACGCTCCGCTGCGGCCTCCTCCTCAGCTGCCTGCTTCTGCTGCCGCTGCTGCTCCTCCTCCTCCTCCTCCTCCTCCTTGGCCTTGGCGTCCTTGGCAAGGGCCGCCAGGCCAGCCTGCATCTTAGCGGGCACACCGAGGCCAGCCTTGCCGCACGCCTGGCCGAGCAGCTCGGCGAGATGCCCTACGTCGTCGCTGACGACGGCCTCGGCTCGCGGTAGGCGAGGATTGGCCTCCTTGGCGGCGAGCTCCGACGCCTTGCGCGCGAGCGCTTGGATCGACGCCTCGTGCTTGTCGACCAGCGCCTGCTCCGCGTCCATTTCCGTCAGATACTTCGCGAGCTCCGCGTCCACCTCCGCCTGGTATTTGGCACGCGCCTCCTTCTTGGTGGCCAGGCGGGCCAGGGCGCGCTCCTTCTTCTGCACGGCGGCGTCGCGCCGCTGGAGCACGTTCGCCAGCTTGGGCTCAGGCGGCGGCTCCGTGGCCTTCTTGGCTGCCAAGTGGTCCTGGCTGATCTGCACCAGCTGCGCCCGATCGGTCAACCCGCGGTACGAGGGGGCCCTGCTCTGGACCGCCAGATCGACGAGCCCGTACTTGACCTTGGCCGCCTCGAGGATCTCCACCTCCACGGCGAGCTGCTCCGCCGTGAGGGGGACGGGGCCCGGGGAGGCCTGCACACCTGCTGGGGCCGCCTCGCTGTCCCCGTCGCCCTCATCCACCTCCATGTCGGCCCAGGTGGCGCGGCGGCCTTGGTCCGCCCACGGAGCACGGCGTGGCGGCGCGGCGGGGGGCTTCGGCTCCTGCTGCGGCGGCCGAGGCTCCCTGGGCCTCTGCCACCGCCCGCTGCCGCCGCCGCCGTAGAAGAGCACCAGGGTGGGTTTGGCCTTGCCACCCTTGGCCCGCTTCGCACCGCAGTGGCGGCAGGATGTGCGGTTGGCCCAGTTGCTGCACAACGGGCCCTCGACGCCCCGCTTGACACAGGCCTTGCACGTCCACTCCGGATGCTTTCCCGCATCACCGCCTGCCATGTGACGGCTCGCGCCGACGCTGTTGTTCTCAAGCGTGCCGACGCAAGACCCGAGCGAGAAGATGTCAAAACTCAAGCTCGAGTCAAGAGCAAATATGATGATGGTGATGATGATGGTGGTGATGATGATGATGATGATGTGGAGGATGAGGAGCCGGAAACGGAGGAGGATGACGATGATGATAATGATGATGCTGATGATGATGATGATGATGATGATGATGATGTGGCGGCTGATGATGATGATGATTCTGATGCGGATGATGCTGATGACGACGATAATGATGATGACGATGATGCAGACGATGATGACCATGAGGATGATGAAGATGATGATGATGATGATGATGATGATGAATTTGATGATGATGATGCGAATGATGTTGATGACGATGATGATGATTATGTTGTTGATGATGATGTGATGCTAATGGTGATGCTGCTGCTGATGATGAGGATGACGATAACGATTCTGATGATGACCATGTCGATGACGATGACGATGACGATGATGATGATGATGATGATGATGATGATGATGATGTTGGTGTTGCGGCTGATGATGATGTTGATGATGCTGATGCGGATGATGACGATGATGTGATGATGAGGATGACGATGCTGATGATGTTGACGATGACGATGACGACGATGATGCTGATTGTGATGATGATGGTGATGATGATGATGCTGCGGCTGACGATGCTGATGCTGATGATGATGATGTTGAGGATGAGGATGGTGATGATGATGATGATGATGATGATGATGATGATGATGATGATGATGATAATGATGATGATGATGATGATGATGATGATGATGATGATGATGAAATTGATGAAATTGATGATGCTGATGCTGATGATGTTGATGATTATGGTATTTATGATGATGTTGATGCTGCTGATGATGATGCTGATGCTGATGCTGCTGATGATGATGGTGATGATGGTGACGCTGATGCTGCTTATGATGATGCTGATGCTGAGGCTGATGATGATGCTGCTGATGATGATGACGATGCTGATGCTAATGAGGACTATGATGACTATGATGATGCTGGTGATGAGGATGATGGTGATGATGATGATGATGATGATGATGATGATGATGATGATGATGATGATGATGATGATGATGATGATGATGATGATGATGATGATGATGATGGTGGTGATGATGATGATGATGATGATGATGATGATGATGATCAGGAGGAGGGGAGGAGGAGGAGGAGGAGGAGGAGAGGAGGAGGAGGAGGAGGAGGAGGAGGAGGGAGGAGGGAGGAGGAGGAGGAGGAAGGCGAGGAGGAAGAGGAGGAAGAGGATGAGGAGGAGGAGGAGGAGGAGGAGGAGGAGGAAGAGGATGAGGAGGAGGAGGAGGAGGAGGAGGAGGATGAGGAGGAGGAGGAGGAGGAGGAGGAGGAGGAGGAGGAGGAGGAGGAGGGGAAGGAGGAGGAGCAGGAAGCAGCAGAAGCAGCAGAAGCAGCAGAAGGTGCTGATGATTCACGTCAGCACGAAGTGCCAGAAGACTTTGCTGCAAGACCTCGACGACCCGGGTCGCGCCGATTTGCGGTCTGCGGGCGACAAGGGCGGTGCTTTCTTGCTGCCGCCTAACGACGGTCGCCGCGGGGGCAGAGCAGATTTGCTTCTGATTTTTTGGTTTTTCGGTTTTCACATTGCAAATTGGGCGCGCGCCTGGTGTCCAGAAGGATCGCTGGGGGCGACCAGAACAACGCCCGGAAGAGCGCCTGGGAGCGCGCTGGCGCGGAGCGCCCGGGCGAGCCCAGAAGAGTGCCGAGAACAGCGCCCAGGAAAGCGCCATCAAGAGTGCCCAGAATGTGGCCCGGGCGCGAATCTGTAAGAGCGCCCGAAAGAGCGCCCGGAAGTGCGCCCAGAAACGATCGATTTTGCGACCGATTTCGCGCCCGATTTCGCGTCCGATTTTTTGCGTGTCGGTTCAATACTTAAATAAACCAGACGCAAATCGGATTTTAAATCGGGCAAAGCTCGGGCGCAAATCGGACGCAAAATCGGACGCAAATCGGACGCAAAATCGGACGCAAAATCGGGGGCAAAATCGGGCGCTGATGGCGTCGACCATTTCTGGGCGGATGAGGCAGCGTATCGCGGTGCATCATGGCGAGGTCTGGTAGGGTGTGCATTGCGGACCCACGCGCGCAATTCAGCGTTGGAGTTTTAGCGATGTGGCGAACGACAAACTGCGATATCGCGTTGTGTCCAGGTCGGGCCAAATCGACAGGAAAATCAGATCGCCGCTTCTGCGGCTGTTTTTCAGGTGCCACCTGGTGCTGGATGAGCACTTCCTCGTGGTCTTGCGCCTGCGGCTGCAGATGTTGCGCCCCGGAGCTCAGCGCACCCGCCCGCCCGCCAGCACTTGCGGGCACAGGTCGTCGCAGCTAGGGCAAAGGTGTGTTTGCGGCATGGGCGACCGAGGGCATCATGCTCTGACGTGTGAAGTCGGCGGCGGAGTTGCGCGGAGGCATGGTTGCGTGGATCGCTGCCGTCTCGGGGGGCCCAGTGCTCACCGAGCAGTTCGTTCTGAAGTGGGACCGACGAGTGGAGGTGGACGGGGAGGAGCAGACTGAACGCGCGCGTTTGGACGTTGTTTTTAATGACCAGAACGCCCAGCGCGCATACATCGACGTCTGCGTCCCCGCTGCGTTTTCCACTTGTCCTGAACTGCTCCGGGCGCGGGCGGCTCGGGGTGGCGCGGCGGCAGCGCGGGCCGAGGATGGCAAGCGCCTGCGGTGCCCAGGGCCGGACCTAGTTCCTTTTGCCGTGGAAGCCCTTGTCCGACCAGGCGCCGACGCCGTTGACCTCCTCCGCGCGCGCGCGCCAGAGGGCCCTTCTGAGCGGTCGCAAGTTCTGGGCTCCGCTTGGCAGTCGTTGTCCGCGTTGCTGCAGACCCAGAACGCAGAGCTTTTGATGGCCGCCGAATCGGCTTGATGCGTCGCCGTTTGTTGCTCAAGCTGTCCTTCCCCTCCCCTTTCCCTTCTCCTCCTCCGCCGCGTCCTTCTCCTCCTTCGCCTCGCTCCTCCGTGGTCGTTTTGGCTGTTCTTTCCTCCGTAGTCGTTTTGGCTGCCAATGTCGCCCCTGTGCCTTTCAACTCGCTTCTCTCCCTCCCTCCCCTTTCCTCTCCTTCTCTTTGCCTTCGGCGGAGGTGCGCGGCGCCTAACGGTGTGGTTCGGTGGCGCACTCCACGCGGCCGCGGCCCCGTCTCGTCCGTCTCCCGGTCCTTCCTGGCCCCCTCTCAGCCTACCCTCTGCCTCGCCGCCGCTGCTTTTTAAGGGTATGCCCTGTCGCCGGCGCCCGGGTGGAGTGGCGCCCCCCACCGCGGGTGCTGAGAAACATTCCAGATGGGCGCACCCCTTCCTTGTTCGAGCGTTTGCTTCTGCTTCCTCGTGCCCGCGTGTCTCGCTCGGGACCCTTCCTGTCCTTCGCGGGTGCTGCTTCAGGCTTGTTCCCAAAATCTGGCGGGGCCCCGGATAAGAGTTGCGTCGGCTGCGCGCGGCGTCGTTTCTTTTGGGCCGGCTTCGACGCGGGGCCGGCCCGCGGTGGCTTGAAGGACGTGGACTGGGTCGCTGCGGGCAGCCTCTGCAGAGCCGCCGGGTCCGCCATAGCCGCGGGCGGCGAGAGGGAGGAGGAGCAGGAGGTAGGGAGGAAAAAGGAGGAGGAAGAAAAGGAGGAACAGCAGGAGGATGAGGAGGCGTCACATGCGATATCTTTCTTCTTCACTTTTGGGCGATCCCTCATGGACCTCATTTTGGCTGTCTGGGGGCTGTCTCCAGTCCCTGTGGGCCAGTCTTGTTTTGGGAGTCCCTTGGGGCCCTCTTTGGCCTTTTCGGGGCCGTCATGGGGCTCTCTTGGGGCCCTCGCGGCCGCCTGGGGGGTTTCTTGGGGCCGTCGTGAAGCCGTATTGCGCCGTCCAGGGGTCGCCTTAGGCCGTTTCGGCTCCCTCCGGAGGCCTTTTGGGCCAGTTTCACACCGTATTGGGTCCCTCCAGGGCCGTGTTGAGGATGTCGTGCAGGTTTCTTGGGCCATTTTGGAAGCCCCCTTGGCCGTCGTGGGGCCATCTTGGAGGCGTCCTGGGCCATGTTGAGCCGACGGGGGCCCGAAAAAACGATAATGCCAACGACCGTCAAAACTGAAGGCTGGCAGATCAAATCGCGTGTGTTATCATTACCATTGCCACTGGTTCTGTTTCGCTGCTACTCTGACTCCGACTCCTTCTCCTCCTGTTTCTCTTCCGCCTGCTACTACTATTGTTATTATTCGCATTCGTATTACGACTGCCACATGTTGAGCTACTACCACTACTACTACTACTACTATTCGTATTATTCTTACTATCCGTATTCGTATCATTCTTAGATCGATTGCCATTACTATTACTACTACTTGTACTATTACTACTACTATTACTATTACTACTACTACTACTACTACTACAACTACTACTACTACTACTACTACTACTACTACTACTACTACTGCTGCTGCTGCTACTACTACTACTACTACTGGTGCTTCTTCTTCTACCATTCGTATTATGACGCGACGACGGCTACTACTTCTATTACTTCTTCCACTACTGCCACCACTCCTGCTACTACTACTACTACTACTACTACTACTACTACTACTACCACTACTACTCCCACTGCGAAAATTACTACCACTCCTACTACTACTACTACTACTACTATTACTACTACTATACTGTTACTACTACTACTACTAATAATATTACCACGACTACTACACTTTTGATTACTAAATTTAAGACGAGTCCTTCTACTACTACCACGAGTACTACTATTAGTATTATGCAACTACTACTACTACTTCGACAACAGCAACTACTACTACTACTACTACTACTACTACTACTACTACTACTACTACTACTACGAGTCTCACGATTCTTGCCACTTTTAGTTTTCGTATTTGTACGATAACGAGTACTAGTGCTACT